TTACAAAAAGAGGAAATTCAAAAGAAGTTTTCCCAAAAGAAGAATTCTGGAGAAATCAAATGTGGTAAAACTGGACATTATGCCAACAAATGCTTAACAAAGCAAAAAATTAATGAGATTATCCAAGATAATGATCTCAAGAATCAATTATGCAAAATTATTCTCAATGATACTGAAGACGAAGTTTTTTCTTTGTCCTCAGGAAATGATGAAGATCTTTTAGAAATCAATTCTACCATTTCCTTCAGTAGACAAAGTGGTGATAATTGTAATAATTGCTCTTTTTCGTGTAAAGCTCAATAAGACTATTACAAAGCAACACTTGACATTAATGGGTTAATCATTAATGTTTTTTCAAAATTCCAATCTCTGATTCTTGACCTAATTTATCAAATTTTTGATCCATGCAAGAAGCTCTAAATTGTTTTAATAATGAATCCTCTTCAAAGAAAGATACAACAATCAATTATCTTAAATATGAGATCAATCAACTAAAATCTGAAGTTAGAGATCTTAAATGGAGATTAGCTTCTCTTGAAATTCATGATCAATCTCAAACTAAAGATCCACAAAAGTCTGAGAAAAAAATTGATATTTTTTTCCTTCTAAATCAAATAACATATCATAAAATGGTATGTTGAAATTACATTGGTAATAAACCAAGAATATGTTGTCAAAACTACTGCTCTTATTGATAGTAGGACTAACATAAATTGTATTAAAGAACGATTAATTCCTACTCAATACTTCGAAAATTTCACTCATACATTGAGTACTGCAGATGGTTCAAAAATGGATATTCGGTATAAACTAACATATGTTTATATTTGTAATTAGGAGGTGTGCATCTCTACATCTTTTATTCTTATCAAAATTTTGACTCAAGATTATTTTGGGTACTCCATTTTTGGCTCTCATAGAACCAATTACAATCGATTCTAAAGGAATCACTACTTTTCTCAAAAACCAATAAATTGTTTTTGAGTTTATTACTAAACAAGAAACAAAGATTTTGAATCAAATCAAAGATAATTTAATTTCCAAAGAAAAATAAATTAATTTTATTCAACAAGAAGTCAAAAGTATGATTATTGCAAATCAATTAGAGAATCCTAAATTTCAGGATGATCTAAGAGATTTACAAGAGAATATGCAGTACCACTCCCAATGCATTTTGGGAAAGGAAAAAACACATTTCTTCTTGCCTTATGAAAATGATTTTAGTGAGAAAAATATTTCCACTAAAGCAAGACCAACCCAAATGAATAAAAATATATAGAACTTTGCAAAAAAGAAATCCAATATTTATTAGACAAATCTTTAATAAGAAAGAGTCATTCTTCTTGGAGTTGTGCAACTTTTATGTCAATAAAAATACTGAAAAAGAAAGGGGAATACCTCATCTTGTTATTAATTATAAAACATCTAAACAATGTTTCGTAATGGATCAGATATTCAATACTTAATAAAAAAGATTTATTGGCTCATTTACATGATGTCATAATTTTTTCAAAATTTGATTTAAAATTTGGATTTTGACAAATTAAAATTATTGAAAATGATAAGTATAAGACTACATTCACAGTTCCTTTTGGACATTATGAATGAAATGTTATTTCATTTGGATTAAAAAATGCTTTGTTTGAATTTCAGAGTATCATGATTGATATTTTCACCCCTTATACATCATTCTCAATTGAGTATATCGATAATATACTCATTTTTGCAAAATCAATTGACTAACATTTTAAATATTTGAATATTTTTATTCAAATAATTAAAAGAAATGGTTTAGTGGTTTCAACCACTAAAATGAAACTTTTTCAAATAAATATCCGTTTTCTTAGACATAATGTTTTCTAAGATACTTGTGCTCTTTATAAGAGATTGAGAAAATCTCCACCTAATCAAACTCTTGAGCATACTCAAGTTGTTCAAAAAATTAAGCTCAAAGCTAAATTATTGCCATGTCAAGCGTTAGTAAATCCCAATTGAGAAAATTTTGTCAAAATCGACGCCTCTAATAAAGGATATGAAGGAATACTTAAACAAAATAATACTCATTCTAATTGCGAAGAATTAGTCCATTTTTATTCTGGGGTTTGGGAAAAATGCCCATCTCAATTACTCTACTGTTAAGAAAGAAATTCTTTGTATTGTCAAACGTATTAATAAGTTTTAAGAAGACTTATTAAATCGAAAGTTTTTAATAAAAATCGATGGAAGATTCTTCTAATGATTCACAAGATCCAATGGATCTCAATGATAATAAAAACATAGAATTGCATCTTGGGACATTCCATAATTTGGAAGATCTTGCCTTTGAAATGTTTGATCTAATAGACATTAAAAATACAAAATAATAATACACACAAGAGGCGGGTATCATAAAAAAAGACATTTTCTTTTAAGTTGATATTACAGAAGGGAGATGACATCATCAGGATATTTTCGTTGAAGTGATACGACTAAAGAAAAATGATATCTTCAGAAAAAAAAAAAAAAAAACGACTAAGAAAAACATCTTTAGAAGAAAGCTACAAAATATGAATTATTTCACGTGGAGATAAAATGACGTAAGCTTTTACATTTTTGTAAGGACAAATTGTTTTGGATTCTTATTCTATAAAAAGATGCGTCTTTCAGTTTAGTAGGCAGAACTTTGCATGCTTGAAATCAAAATCACGTGATCTAACACTGAGAGACAATTTAATTATGATATCAAAACACATGATATAAATATTAAAAAATATGGTGTATGATACGGTACCAATTATTTTTTGGGTACCATAATCAAAGTCATGGACTAGACTTTGGTACAGATAAAAAATTTTAAGTATCATACCTTCAAAATTTATTATTTTAATGAATATTTTTTATAATTTTTGTGCTTCATTTTATAACCAAAAAAATTATCATTTTTATAGGTATTTTATCACTGTCGTGAGTGTTTTTATTATTGTTGTAATAATTATTTTTATCACTTTTTTTAATATAAATTATTATTTTTGTGGGTGATTTATTATATTTGTGAACGTTTTTATCACTGTTATGATAACTATTTTTATCATTTTTTTGGTGTCACAATAATAATTAAAATATCCAAAATAATAATAAAAATACCTATAAATATAATAATAAAAATATGATACATTTTTTTTTTTGGGGGTTAGACAACTCCCAAACTCATATGTGGAAGTCCAAGTTTGCTTAAAATCAGGAGCAGTGGTCAAATTTGACATCTAACAATACAAATCATTAGACACTAACAAGACGGGAAAGCCAGGAGTGGAATCCCGTGTGTTTGGGACATAGATTTTGAAAGAATATTCACCTAGCACTAGTAATAGATTTTTATAGAATGTTNCTTAGAATCAGGAGCAGTGGTCAAATTTGACATCTAACAATACAAATTATTAGACACTGACAAGACGGGAAAGCCAGGAGTGGAATCCCGTGTGTTTGGGACATAGATTTTGAAAGAATATTCACCTAGCACTAGTAATAGATTTTTATAGAATGTTCATCTAACACTAGTAAGACTATGACTAAAATTATAAGATTAATCCCCACATGACATATTACACATTATCATCATTAATATAGGTCATTATCTTGGCACCCCATGTATTTTCAGAAGTTCCAAGATTTATCCTTAAAGAATATTCTCCAATTATACTAACACACCTAGTAAATGTGTGTGCTAAATAACATCTCGACACCTCNTATTCATCTAGCACTAGTAAGACTATGTCTAAAATTATAAGATTAATCCCCACATGACATATTACACATTATCATCATTAATGTAGGTCATTATCTTGGCACCCCATGTATTTTCAGAAATTCCAAGATTTATCCTTAAAGAATATTCTCCAATTATACTAACACACCTAGTAAATGTGTGTGCTAAATAACATCTCGACACCTCTCTAATCTCTTCTCACTTTACAAAATACTTCTAGCTTCCGCCATCCTAACAAAATCCTTCTAGTCTCTGCAATTTTAATTCTCTTAATTATCCCCGCTTCTCTTTCTTTCTCTCTCTCTCTATGTGCTCACCCTCCCATTCAAGCACACAAACACACGACTTATGTGGCGAGTGATTGATTTCATTTATGGTTGCTGATCTTGAGTAGTTTCATATTTGATGGAGGTGGTAATATAAGGTATGGTCATTTTTTACGGGAAGGTGGTGTTAACTAGGGTTCACACCTTTGGTTGGGCTCAAGGTTGAGAGATTTTATGGACATTTGGGGATTGTGAGTTTATGGGCTGGGGAGGGTTTCATTTTTTAAAGGGGTGGGGTGGGGTGGGGTGCGTGCAAGCGGGCTAGGGTACCATGTTGGTTTTAGTTAAGAAAGAAAAAAGAGGGGCTATGTAAAAGGATAAAAGGGTGTGACTATAAATAGTTGGATTGCTTTGTTGAAGAATAGTAAAATTATGTCACGGTATAAAAGTGTTATAAAAATTATCATTTCTGTTTCTTTTTTCTTATGTTTAACAATGACAACATAAGTATTTGAAGGAAAAAGTGTGTGTGATGATATCAATCTATTCTGTTATTCCACTGTTAATCAGATACAAATGCAATGTATTTTTAAAAACAAGATATCTTTTGTAATTATTGGAAATCATAGGGGCACCAGTTTAATTTGTTGTCCAAGCTGCACTACAGCCACGGATAGACACTGGGGCCCACTAGAAAGAATCGTCAAGAAATAAACAGTGCTCTAACTTTTAAGAAGGCTTAAAACCCTAAAATTAAAAAAAAATTCAATGGAATCTTTTGAAAGTCGTTCAGGATCAACGGCCCTGATCAACCTAAGGTGTTATATAAAAGCACACACGCGATCTAGCAGCCTCCATTTCCATTTCCATTTCCATTTCGTTCTTTTAGCTGGCTGCTCTGCTCTCAGAGCCTCCCTTCACAGGTTACGGACAGACACATAATCAAGCAGAAACGTGTGTAAACGAGGGGAGAGAGAGAGAGAGAGGCCATGTGTGGAATACTGGCAGTCTTCGGTTGCGTGGACAATTCTCAGACCAAACGGTCCAGAATCATCGAGCTCTCGAGAAGGTAACTTCTACATTTTTTGCTCAATTCGTTCCAATGTCTGTATCTGAAAGAAGTTTTTGTAAATGCATTCCAGATTATAAACACATATATACCTTCCTTTAATTTTTCATAAAAAATTTTGTTCATGTTATCCTTTGATCGTTCAAAGTTTAATCTCATGGTTGCCGGTGCATCAGTTGCTTGGATTTCTTAGTTTGCATGAAATGAAATTTACAAATGTGGATTTACTGTATAATCGTGTTTGTCCTTCCTGAGCATGGAATAGACGCCTTGAAATGGTAATTGAACCCCACATTTGGTTCAAAAGTTAATGTAGTTCTGCTCTTATTACAATTCCAAGTCGTGAATTCGGTCCTCCCAAATGCAGTGTTCCTATATTAGATTTGGTAGTTTGTTGGGGCATTGAAATCATTTCTAAGTAAATGAAAGAAAAGGGTTTGACTTTTCAAACGTATGGTGCTTTTTGGAATGTTGTACTAGGGGGAGATTAAGATTCCGAATGCTCCAACACTGTATTGTGACATCGTTAGTGATGGGAGAAGGATGAGTGCAGTGTGACATGTTTGGATGTCACCTAGGAGTAGGTTTCATTTACCTTACAGAAAATTAGAGAATCAATTTTCAACCATCATTGTGCCAAAGATGTTTCCTATCCACTAATTCACACATTTTTATTAAAATTGGGGTGATAATCATACTAAAGGAAATCTTGTTATGAAGTTATGTGCCAAACTGAAACCCTTTTTCTAGATCTTGGAATTGTAAATAACACAAGTACTTGACATTTTACTGACTGATACACTTTCACACTAGCTTGGCTTAGTAGTCCCTTCAATCATATAATATATCAAACATGTTTTTGTTTCAATGACTGCAAATTGTAGGTTGCGCCATAGAGGTCCTGATTGGAGTGGCTTGCACTGTCATCAGGATTGTTATCTTGCTCATCAAAGGCTGGCCATAATGGATCCCACTTCTGGAGATCAACCACTTTATAACGAGGACAAGACGGTTGTTGTTACGGTAAACAAATTTATTTATTTTTCCCTAAATTATAGTTGTGTTAGTTGAACACAATTTTTGACATGCATTTATGTCAAAGCAAAGCAAAGCAAAGATCTCTTGTAGATGTTGTAATTACAAATTTACAAAGCTAACATATATTTTCTTGTTTATATGCATATGTCTGTGAATCTTAAACTGTTCTATGTTCTTACTTGAATTTTATGCTTGATTGGATTGTTTAGATATCATCCTTGAAGATTATAAAAATTATGGACAGGAGTCAATATAAAATCTTTATTTTACATATTGTGTTCAAATAAATATGTAGATAACTACCAGCTATCGGGCTGGGACAATCTAGAGAGAATAATGATTAATGATTATTTGGTTTGATCCATGTTGGTAAAAGCTAGAGATATGTCTCTATACTACCAAAACTAATTCTTGATATTTTACTAGTTACCACGAATGTATTTCCTAGAAGGAGATGGATGCATCCTTTAGGATTGAATCCAGCACTCCGACTCTTTGTGATGGAAAATGGCAACGTCCAATAAAGATGTATAAAATACGTGGGCTAGATGGTTCTAAGGTCCAAGTCTTAATTTGGCATATGTTGGATGATGTTGGGCTCACTTGGGATATTGACTAGACATGGGTTGATTTCTAAAAGTCTGCATGGCTTTTCATTTGCCTTATGACCTTTCATTTAGTTACATTAACCACAAGTTTTTTATGCATGTATCCAATGATTCATTCATCTAGCTTTTTGGGAGTTGAAAAGATTCAGCATTAATTAGTTTTTGAAGTCCTATATATTGATATAACTTCAAGATTTTAAAGTATGATGAATGAATATATGAAATTTTCAGAAGTTTTTCTAAGTTTTTAAGATTGTGTGATGCAATCCTTTCTTTGGTGTGATGCTAAAGAGCCCCTAAGTGAGATGCCTTGGATTTCTAGGTGTGAGGCCTAAAACTATCTTCTCTTCCTTCTAATTCTCCTTCTTGCTTTCTATCTCCATCTATTGTTCACATACTGTTCATATGTTGTTCATGTACTGTTCACAGCCCCTAAGCAACCCTTAAATAGCCCCTGTTTTCAGTATTTTTCCTTTCTTTCTCTGCCTTCCAATTCTGTCCTACATCACTTTGACTGGCAGATTGAATGTTTTAAAGTCANTATTCATATGTTGTTCATGTACTGTTCACAGCCCCTAAGTAACCCTTAAATAGCCCCTGTTTTCAGTATTTTTCCTTTCTTTCGCCGCCTTCCAATTCTGTCCTACATCACTTTGACTGGCAGATTGAATGTTTTAAAGTCAATTCTTCTATGTCCATGAATGAGATTTTGCGGAATAAGTGTTTGGACTTTGCGTTATTGTTAGCTTTGATGTTAGTTTCGACATGAACAAAGATGTAGTCCCCACTCTTTACTTCATTTATTAACAATAACGATACATTGACATTCTACTGTACAAGAAGACAACAATGTAGCCCAATTCATGTAATAATTGATAGACCCTTGAAGATTCCAAATGTGACCACCCTCCTGGTTAACTTCTACACAAACCCAACTGGGATTCAATTCTGTATTAAAATATTCTTTATATTTAAGTAGATTATTCATTAATACACATGATTAATATTAATACCATTGGATTTCATCTAACGGTACAAGTTCCATGCGCAGATGGACTCAAGTACATGATGGTGTGTGCTTTATCATCATTCTTCTGCCAACGATTTAGCAGAACAAAAACGACATCATTCCCATCCCCGATTAACAAACCAAAGTTCCTACGCGACTTGGGTGAAGATCTATGAGAGTGCAACAAAAGAAACATATAGATAAATCACTACATAACAATATTACTATTTGAACAAAGTGGAACAGTTATACTATTGAACACTTATAACTTATTAATCTACATATATATCAACAACAAAATTAAGCGGTCATTAGGGAATGACTCTAATACCAAAGAAAGACTGAATAGTATATCACTATAGCACATGTCACTTTAGAAAAATGTTAGCACAACATATTATTAGAACACTATAACAAATAGAATGCATAAATATCAACACATACCATTGAGCACCATGCTTATGAAATTTTACCAAAAGGATGAATTTATTAAAAAATCATTTGAAATTGATTTTGCGGAATAAGTGTTTGGACTTTGCGTTATTGTTAGCTTTGATGTTAGTTTCGGTAAAGGCAAGATAGCATAGTTGTTAAAAGTCTTGTTTATCAAAGCACATTTTTGTTCCTTATTATTATTTATTTATTTTTATCATTAGGGCATTGACTAGGTGAAAGCCAAATATAAATTTTATTGAGGATGGAAAGGTTATGGGTTTATTGTGGGTTCTTTGTTTCTGGTAGACTGAAGGCTGGTTCATGCCTTACTTTTTTGGGATTTGCCTTTTTTGGGTCACGTTTTGGTTTTTATATTTTTCAATTTCGCCCAAAATAATTATGTGAATGTATGAATCTTTGTTGATCTAAGGCTGGTTCATACTTTTTTTTGGTACCTTGTCTGATTTTTATACGATTTCTTGGTCCGAATATTTTTAATTTCATCCAGACTAATGATTAGAATGCGTGAATTTTGTGTTGGTTAACTATGGATGGTTCATGGGTTTTTCATTTTTTGTGTAATTATGGGCATTGCTACGTGCTTTTGTTGGTTAATTTTTTATGTTTTTGTTTTGCGTTTTGCGTTTTTGTTTTAGTCAAGAAAATGATATGAATTCTGTGCTGCTGGTTGATTCTTGATATTTATAGGTTAGTCTTGCTTGATAGTTATGTTGTTAGAGCCATATAACAGGTTACATTTTTATGAATTAGATGCTAATAAGAGTATTTTGGTATTACGTAAACTAGTTTCCGTATTAAGTTTTTGTCAATACAATTGCTAGTAACATTTATTTTTCGTTATGTTACAACATCATACCTTTGTTATTATTATTATTTTTTTGGATGAGTTTCTCTCTTACATGTTTTTGTCGTATAAGATTCTAAAGATTTGGAACTTGAATCATTTGAATTAGAAATTGAAATGTGTTTGTTTTCCATGAGTGTCTATAATTTAAAATGATAATGGTAGGTATAGACAAGGGGAGAACTTGATGCTCCGCCTAGTTGTTTCATACTTGCTTTGCAATGGGTTAAAAATGCTTGTATATGTCAAAAATTAATTAAAACGTGACAATTTAACATAAGGGAGTCAAAACATAACAATAGTTGAATATTAAGGGGTTGTTCATGATTTGAACATATTCACAACTGCGACCCATTACACCTTGACTGATACTCCCAGTGATACCATTATAATGTGACTGTTATTGTTATATAGCATTTCACTGTGATATTAGGTGTTTGGTGCAATATACCTGAACCTCCTTAACTAGACCTGGCAGGTTAAAATATGACGTTGCATAAAACTCTCCAGATGGTGCTGTAGTGGAAGGTGCTTCAATAATAGTGTCAACAAACTGAAAGAGGAGTTTTGATCATATTGTGATTATCTCCTTGACAGGGTGAGAAGGGCTTGTGATTTCCTATGAGCATATTAAGATGCATGTACATTTTAGATTTTTGTAAGAGTGCTAGAATTGGAGGTCCCTTTCTTGAGAGTTGCAAGAATGGATTTGAGGCTGTCAAATCCCCTCAAAATAGGTGTCATTTTAATATTCCTAAGAGACCGGACTGGAGAAGGTTGAAACTGTCAAGGTCTGCTAATGTATTAAAGCTCCTTTATCTGTTATCTCCTTTTATATACATTGGGATTTTCAAAATTTCGTCAAACTGATTATTTTTTTAAATACTTGCAGGATTTTTGAAGTTTTGGGGAATAATAAATTTTTAAATCCATTGATTTTACACTATTGATTTTAAATCCCTTCATTTTAAATCTCTTGAACAATTTAAAATTTATCATCCAAACAGTCTCTTCATTGAGCAAGAAGTGTATTTGAAGTTCTTAAGAAAAATAGACAATGACAATTTTTTGGTTCTCTCCTATTGACATTGGATATATAGGTTAGATGGTGGGTCTAGAAAGTTGGTTGAAGATGAATGAAGTACAAGCTACATTAGATTTTTTGATGTACTGGGAAATTTATGGTACATTTATTCTATTATTTAAGGTTTTTTGTTTCTCTCATTTTCTCTCTAATTGTTTTAGTTGAATGGCTGTTTGCATATTTTTCAAACTACAAAGTAAATCCTGATTATATGATCACTTCCTTTGAGTTGACTGATAAAAAAATGACCACCTCTTAATTTTACTGTGTAACTATATAAGCTTGGCCTTATGTTTGACTATGTTACTTTTGCTTTAAGGTTAATGGGGAGATATACAACCATAACGAACTAAGGAAGAAGCTAAATTCTCATCAGTTCCGTACTGGAAGTGATTGTGAAGTTATGGCACATCTTGTAAGTACTCCCACAACTTATTGAGATAGAGGTTCATTTATTATCTCAATCTACGGCTAGTATTCCAGAACAGAAAAAACTCTAGATTTATAAAATCTTTTGCTAACATATATTTCTCTTAACCCTTTTCCTTGTGTTCTTGTTNGGAATAATAAATTTTTAAATCCATTGATTTTACACTATTGATTTTAAATCCCTTCATTTGAAATCTCTTGAACAATTTAAAATTTATCATCCAAACAGTCTCTTCATTGAGCAAGAAGTGTATTTGAAGTTCTTAAGGAAAATAGACAATGACAATTTTTTGGTTCTCTCCTATTGACATTGGATATATAGGTTAGATGGTGGTTCTAGAAAGTTGGTTGAAGATGAATGAAGTACAAGCTACATTAGATTTTTTGATGTACTGGGAAATTTATGGTACATTTATTCTATTATTTAAGGTTTTTTGTTTCTCTCATTTTCTCTCTAATTGTTTTAGTTGAATGGCTGTTTGCATATTTTTCAAACTACAAAGTAAATCCTGATTATATGATCACTTCCTTTGAGTTGACTGATAAAAAAATGACCACCTCTTAATTTTACTGTGTAACTATATAAGCTTGGCCTTATGTTTGACTATGTTACTTTTGCTTTAAGGTTAATGGGGAGATATACAACCATAACGAACTAAGGAAGAAGCTAAATTCTCATCAGTTCCGTACTGGAAGTGATTGTGAAGTTATGGCACATCTTGTAAGTACTCCCACAACTTATTGAGATAGAGGTTCATTTATTATCTCAATCTACGGCTAGTATTCCAGAACAGAAAAAACTCTAGATTTATAAAATCTTTTGCTAACATATATTTCTCTTAACCCTTTTCCTTGTGTTCTTGTTCCATAAACTTGGCTATTTTCTCTTTGCCAGTATGAAGAATATGGAGAAGATTTAGTTNAAATTTATAAAATCTTTTGCTAACATATATTTCTCTTAACCCTTTTCCTTGTGTTCTTGTTTCATAAACTTGGCTATTTTCTCTTTGCCAGTATGAAGAATATGGAGAAGATTTAGTTGGCATGTTGGATGGAATGTTCTCCTTTGTGCTTCTTGACACCCATGACAAAAGTTTCATTGCAGCTCGGGATGCTATTGGTATTACCCCACTTTACATGGGCTGGGGCCTTGATGGTATGTAGCCGCTCTGAGGCTGTTTGCGTTTCAAGGTTGCTTTGATTAATTTCCAGCAAAATTGCACCTGCATTTTCCCAGCCTCCTTTTGGGATAATGTTACATGCTGCATTGCTTAGTGATCTCTAGCTGCCTTGTGAGTAAAGACTTCTAAGGGGCTTCGGGTCATTCATTCCTTCAGGTTGTGATTTTTCATGTGTGGGAATGACAAACCAAAAGTCATATCTATGCAGCCTTTCAAATTACTTTATATTTTGTTGTTCTCAATCAGTGTCCATAATCTGGATTCGCGTCAGCATGCGAATTAAACTTAGCTTGTTGGAAGAATTTTTTTTTCTCAGATGATTGCCACTGGCATNGGAAAATAGACAATGACAATTTTTTGGTTCTCTCCTATTGACATTGGATATATAGGTTAGATGGTGGGTCTAGAAAGTTGGTTGAAGATGAATGAAGTACAAGCTACATTAGATTTTTTGATGTACTGGGAAATTTATGGTACATTTATTCTATTATTTAAGGTTTTTTGTTTCTCTCATTTTCTCTCTAATTGTTTTAGTTGAATGGCTGTTTGCATATTTTTCAAACTACAAAGTAAATCCTGATTATATGATCACTTCCTTTGAGTTGACTGATAAAAAAATGACCACCTCTTAATTTTACTGTGTAACTATATAAGCTTGGCCTTATGTTTGACTATGTTACTTTTGCTTTAAGGTTAATGGGGAGATATACAACCATAACGAACTAAGGAAGAAGCTAAATTCTCATCAGTTCCGTACTGGAAGTGATTGTGAAGTTATGGCACATCTTGTAAGTACTCCCACAACTTATTGAGATAGAGGTTCATTTATTATCTCAATCTACGGCTAGTATTCCAGAACAGAAAAAACTCTAGATTTATAAAATCTTTTGCTAACATATATTTCTCTTAACCCTTTTCCTTGTGTTCTTGTTCCATAAACTTGGCTATTTTCTCTTTGCCAGTATGAAGAATATGGAGAAGATTTAGTTGGCATGTTGGATGGAATGTTCTCCTTTGTGCTTCTTGACACCCATGACAAAAGTTTCATTGCAGCTCGGGATGCTATTGGTATTACCCCACTTTACATGGGCTGGGGCCTTGATGGTATGTAGCCGCTCTGAGGCTGTTTGCGTTTCAAGGTTGCTTTGATTAATTTCCAGCAAAATTGCACCTGCATTTTCCCAGCCTCCTTTTGGGATAATGTTACATGCTGCATTGCTTAGTGATCTCTAGCTGCCTTGTGAGTAAAGATTTCTAAGGGGCTTCGGGTCATTCATTCCTTCAGGTTGTGATTTTTCATGTGTGGGAATGACAAACCAAAAGTCATATCTATGCAGCCTTTCAAATTACTTTATATTTTGTTGTTCTCAATCAGTGTCCATAATCTGGATTCGCGTCAGCATGCGAATTAAACTTAGCTTGTTGGAAGAATTTTTTTTTCTCAGATGATTGCCACTGGCATTTTCAATTGCCTTGCTTCGGCATATTTCATGCCATTATTTCTTCTGTAGGTGCATCTCACAGAAGTTTTTATGCTTATGTTGCTATCATTTTTATTTAAATTGTTCTTACTTTTAGCTGATGTGAACTCATAGAATTATGAGTTAGCCATGATAAAACCTATTTATATGTTTACCTCGTGGAGTATGTTTGAAGCATATATTAGACTTTCTTGACTTCAGTTCTAAGTCTCTGCTGTGGCGTTCATTCAAGTTATCAAGAATATTTTGCTATTGAAGTGCGATAAATTATAGTTATTGCTTGCAAGGGTCAAAATTTCGTTTCAGTGCATTGTTTCGGTCGCCTAGAAAATAGAAATATTTCGACGTGTTTCGGAAATGTTTCGACCCATTTCGGAAACAAAATGAAAAAAAATAAAAAATTTAAAAATTATTTTTTCAAAACATTGATCAAAATTGTTAAGTTTAGAGAGTTAACATATTATTAGAGAAAGACGGAGAGTGGTCTAAAACATAACTTACCTTTCACAAACCACTTGTATTTATAGTTAACATACAATAATAAGAAAGACGTATACACCATCTTATATTTACACATAGTACCCTAATACCTTAACACTCCCCCTCAAGTTGGACCNCAGGTTAAAATATGACGTTGCATAAAACTCTCCAGATGGTGCTGTAGTGGAAGGTGCTTCAATAATAGTGTCAACAAACTGAAAGAGGAGTTTTGATCATATTGTGATTANCTGGTTAAAATATGACGTTGCATAAAACTCTCCAGATGGTGCTGTAGTGGAAGTTGCTTCAATAATAGTGTCAACAAACTGAAAGAGGAGTTTTGATCATATTGTGATTATCTCCTTGACAGGGTGAGAAGGGCTTGTGATTTCCTATGAGCATATTAAGATGCATGTACATTTTAGATTTTTGTAAGAGTGCTAGAATTGGAGGTCCCTTTCTTGAGAGTTGCAAGAATGGATTTGAGGCTGTCAAATCCCCTCAAAATAGGTGTCATTTTAATATTCCTAAGAGACCGGACTGGAGAAGGTTGAAACTGTCAAGGTCTGCTAATGTATTAAAGCTCCTTTATCTGTTATCTCCTTTTATATACATTGGGATTTTCAAAATTTCGTCAAACTGATTATTTTTTTAAATACTTGCAGGATTTTTGAAGTTTTGGGGAATAATAAATTTTTAAATCCATTGATTTTACACTATTGATTTTAAATCCCTTCATTTTAAATCTCTTGAACAATTTAAAATTTATCATCCAAACAGTCTCTTCATTGAGCAAGAAGTGTATTTGAAGTTCTTAAGAAAAATAGACAATGACAATTTTTTGGTTCTCTCCTATTGACATTGGATATATAGGTTAGATGGTGGGTCTAGAAAGTTGGTTGAAGATGAATGAAGTACAAGCTACATTAGATTTTTTGATGTACTGGGAAATTTATGGTACATTTATTCTATTATTTAAGGTTTTTTGTTTCTCTCATTTTCTCTCTAATTGTTTTAGTTGAATGGCTGTTTGCATATTTTTCAAACTACAAAGTAAATCCTGATTATATGATCACTTCCTTTGAGTTGACTGATAAAAAAATGACCACCTCTTAATTTTACTGTGTAACTATATAAGCTTGGCCTTATGTTTGACTATGTTACTTTTGCTTTAAGGTTAATGGGGAGATATACAACCATAACGAACTAAGGAAGAAGCTAAATTCTCATCAGTTCCGTACTGGAAGTGATTGTGAAGTTATGGCACATCTTGTAAGTACTCCCACAACTTATTGAGATAGAGGTTCATTTATTATCTCAATCTACGGCTAGTATTCCAGAACAGAAAAAACTCTAGATTTATAAAATCTTTTGCTAACATATATTTCTCTTAACCCTTTTCCTTGTGTTCTTGTTCCATAAACTTGGCTATTTTCTCTTTGCCAGTATGAAGAATATGGAGAAGATTTAGTTGGCATGTTGGATGGAATGTTCTCCTTTGTGCTTCTTGACACCCATGACAAAAGTTTCATTGCAGCTCGGGATGCTATTGGTATTACCCCACTTTACATGGGCTGGGGCCTTGATGGTATGTAGCCGCTCTGAGGCTGTTTGCGTTTCAAGGTTGCTTTGATTAATTTCCAGCAAAATTGCACCTGCATTTTCCCAGCCTCCTTTTGGGATAATGTTACATGCTGCATTGCTTAGTGATCTCTAGCTGCCTTGTGAGTAAAGATTTCTAAGGGGCTTCGGGTCATTCATTCCTTCAGGTTGTGATTTTTCATGTGTGGGAATGACAAACCAAAAGTCATATCTATGCAGCCTTTCAAATTACTTTATATTTTGTTGTTCTCAATCAGTGTCCATAATCTGGATTCGCGTCAGCATGCGAATTAAACTTAGCTTGTTGGAAGAATTTTTTTTTCTCAGATGATTGCCACTGGCATTTTCAATTGCCTTGCTTCGGCATATTTCATGCCATTATTTCTTCTGTAGGTGCATCTCACAGAAGTTTTTATGCTTATGTTGCTATCATTTTTATTTAAATTGTTCTTACTTTTAGCTGATGTGAACTCATAGAATTATGAGTTAGCCATGATAAAACCTATTTATATGTTTACCTCGTGGAGTATGTTTGAAGCATATATTAGACTTTCTTGACTTCAGTTCTAAGTCTCTGCTGTGGCGTTCATTCAAGTTATCAAGAATATTTTGCTATTGAAGTGCGATAAATTATAGTTATTGCTTGCAAGGGTCAAAATTTCGTTTCAGTGCATTGTTTCGGTCGCCTAGAAAATAGAAATATTTCGACGTGTTTCGGAAATGTTTCGACCCATTTCGGAAACAAAATGAAAAAAAATAAAAAATTTAAGAATTATTTTTTCAAAACATTGATCGAAATTGTTAAGTTTAGAGAGTTAACATATTATTAGAGAAAGACGGAGAGTGGTCTAAAACATAACTTACCTTTCACAAACCACTTGTATTTATAGTTAACATACAATAATAAGAAAGACGTATACACCATCTTATATTTACACATAGTACCCTAATACCTTAACACTCCCCCTCAAGTTGGACCATATATATCATATAATCCAAGTTTGGAACAAATTATTGTAAGACGTGTACGACTCAATGTTTTGGTAAACATATCTGTAAGGTGATCTTCAAATTTCACCAATAGAGTCGTAATCTCTCAAGCTACTATTTTGTTTCGAATAAAGTGACAATCAACTTCAATATGTTTGGTTCTCTCGTGAAACATTGGATTGACAGCGATATGGATAATGTCTGGTTGTCACAAATGAACTGTAAAAGAGGTTGAACTGAAAATTTAATTTCCTGGAGGAAATGTAGTAGCCAAGTCAACTCACTTGTTGTATGCACCATTGCCCAATACTCAGCCTCAACACTGGATCTTGCTACTACATGTTTCTTACTTTTCCATGAGACAATTTTACCTCCTAAGAAAGTATAATAACTAGTGGTTGATCTCCGATTAGAAGGAGAGTCAGTTCAATCAGCATTTGAGAAACTTTCTTCTATGATGTTCATTAGTTCGATATAACAATCCATGGCCAGGAGCACATTTGAGATATCGCAGAATACGAGTAACTGCCTCCCAATGTGATACTTTAGGACACCCCATAAATTGACTTACTATATTGATTGTATAGGAAATATCCGGTCGAGTAATAGTGAGATAATTGTGCTTCCCAACCAATCTGCGATACCAACCTGGATTCTTAAAATGTGTACTATCATCTATCAACAGTTTCTGATTTGGATCCACAGGAACATCAATCGGTCTGCCATCCAACAAACCTGTTTTTTCTAGCATGTCAGTATGTATTCCCTCTAGAATAAACAAATACCTTGTTTAGATTGAGCCACCTCAATACCCAANGCCTGGTTGTCACAAATCAATTGTAAAAGAGGTTGAACTGAAAATTTAATTTCCTGGAGGAAATGTAATAGCCAAGTCAACTCACTTGTTGTATGCACCATTGCCCAATACTCAGCCTCAACACTGGATCTTGCTACTACATGTTTCTTACTTTTCCATGAGACAATTTTACCTCCTAAGAAAGTATAATAACTAGTGGGTGATCTCCGATTAGAAGGAGAGTCAGTCCAATCAGCATTTGAGAAACTTTCTTCTATGATGTTCATTAGTTCGATATAACAATCCATGGCCAGGAGCACATTTGAGATATCGCAGAATACGAGTAACTGCCTCCCAATGTGATACTTTAGGACACCCCATAAATTGACTTACTATATTGATTGTATAGGAAATATCCGGTCGAGTAATAGTGAGATAATTGTGCTTCCCAACCAATCTGCGATACCAACCTGGATTCTTAAAATGTGTACTATCATCTATCAACAGTTTCTGATTTGGATCCACAGGAACATCAATCGGTCTGTCATCCAACAAACCTGTTTTTTCTAGCATGTCAGTATGTATTCCCTCTAGAATAAACAAATACCTTGTTTAGATTGAGCCACCTCAATACCCAAGAAATACCTGAGTTTTTCTAAATCCTTAGTATGAAATCAATCTTGCAGGAAGGTTTTTAACTTGACAATCTACTCAGAATCATTTTCAGTACTCACAATATCATTTACATAGACCACCAATAGAACATATCCGGCATCTGTCTGTCTATGAAACACGGAATGGTCTGTCTGACATCAAAGAAGACCAAACTCTAAAACTGCATTTGAAAACTTACCATACCACGCCCTCAATGATTGTTTCAAACCATATAAAGATTTTTTTAATCGACATACACTCTTATCATATTCCCCCCGAGTAGTAAACTTAGGTGGCTACTCCATGTATACCTCTTCTACCAAGTTACTATGTAGGAAGACATTTTTGATATCTAACTGAAACAAGGGCCAATCAAAATTAGCAGCTAAAGAAATCAAGATACAAACAGAGGAAAATTTGGCAATAGGAGAGAAAGTCTCCTCATAATCAACACCATGGGTCTGAATAAAGTCCTTTACAACAAGTTAGGCTTTGAGACGCTCCACAGAACCATCCGGATAAAATTTAACAGTATACACCCAACGACAACCTATAGTTTGTTTACCAGGAGGTAAATGAACGACATCCCAAGTCCCATTATGATGTAAGGCATCCATCTCCTCTTTCATAGCTTTCCTCCAATTCGGATCAAATAACGCATCCTGTNACAGGAACATCAATCGGTCTGTCATCCAACAAACCTGTTTTTTCTAGCATGTCAGTATATATTCCCTCTAGAATAAACAAATACCTTGTTTAGATTGAGCCACCTCAATACCCAAGAAATACCTGAGTTTTTCTAAATCCTTAGTATGAAATCAATCTTGCAGGAAGGTTTTTAACTTGACAATCTACTCAGAATCATTTTCAGTAATCACAATATCATTTACATAGACCACCAATAGAACATATCCGGCATCTGTCTGTCTATGAAACACGGAATGGTCTGTCTGACATCAAAGAAGACCAAACTCTAAAACTGCATTTGAAAACTTACCATACCACGCCCTCAATGATTGTTTCAAACCATATAAAGATTTTTTTAATCGACATACACTCTTATCATATTCCCCCCGAGTAGTAAACTTAGGTGGCTACTCCATGTATACCTCTTCTACCAAGTTACTATGTAGGAAGACATTTTTGATATCTAACTGAAACAAGGGCCAATCAAAATTAGCAGCTAAAGAAATCAAGATACAAACAGAGGAAAATTTGGCAATAGGAGAGAAAGTCCCCTCATAATCAACACCATGAGTCTGAATAAAGTCTTTTACAACAAGTTAGGCTTTGAGACGCTCCACAGAACCATCCGGATAAAATTTAACAGTATACACCCAACAACAACCTACAGTTTGTTTACCAGGAGGTAAATGAACGACATCCCAAGTCCCATTATGATGTAAGGCATCCATCTCCTCTTTCATAGCTTTCCTCCAATTCGGATCAAATAACGCATCCTGTAAGTGCTAAGGGATAAAAATAGTAGATAATTGAGAAATAAAACAAGAGAAGACAGGAGACAAGGCAATATATGAAACAAAATGAGCAATAGAATGATTAGTAACACACGAACGAGTACCTTTTCGAAGAGCAATAACAAAGATCAAAATATCATTTCGGTGTATTATTTTGGTCACCTGGGAAACAAAAACATTTCGACGTGTTTAGAAAACGTTTTGACCCGTTTCAGAAACATAATAGAAAAAATAAATTTAAGAACTATTTTTCTAAAATATTGATAAAAATATATCAAAGTATTTTGAAATATCTTGAAACATTCTAAAATAATTGTGCAAATACATTGAAATAATATAATACATTTAAATATATTATGAAATATCTCAAAATATAAGTATTTAGATTTTATTATTATTTCTTTTCGGTCTCTTTAAAAATGAAAACGTTTCGGATGTTTCGACCGTTTTGAAACGATATTTTGATTCTTGAACAATAGGTAAAGAGTCTAAATTACTTAATGTACTAGGATCAGAAGGCGGCAAGGAAGACGGTACGGGCACCTCAGTCGATGGGCGAGGACGACCAGAGTATACACGAAGAGGTAAAGTAGATGGTAACACTGTAAGCAGCAGAATATCTGACGGTGATAGAAGAGATGGTGGTACAAGAGATAACCCAAAGTCTACATCCAAAGGCTGAGCAGGTGTTGAAAAATAAAGAACAGATTCCTCAAACGTGACATCGACACTAGTAAAGTATCGGTGCATGGAAGAATTATAGCAACGATGCCCCTTCTGTGTGCGGGAGTATCTAAGAAATACACATTTGGTAGCCCGAGGGTTAAGTTTATCAAATTCAGGGTCCAAGTTGTAAGCATAACAGACACATTAAAAAAACCTTAAGAGTTAAGGAAAATAAGTGCTTACCAGGAAAAATGACAGAATATGGGCTTTACCCATCTAACACAGAGGACGACCTACGATTAATAAGATGACAAGTAGTGAGAACAATATCACTCCAAAAATATCGGAGAATATTTATTTGGAATAACAATGCATAGGTGACTTCCNGAAAAATAAGTGCTTACTAGGAAAAATGACAGAATATGGGCTTTACCCATCTAACACAGAGGACGACATACGATTAATAAGATGACAAGTAGTGAGAACAATATCACTCCAAAAATATCGGAGAATATTTATTTGGAATAACAATGCATAGGTGACTTCCAACAAATGACGGTTTTTACGTTCAGTAACACCATTCTGTGGAGAGGTGTAAGCACAGAAAGTCTGATGAATAATGCTAATTTTACTCAGATAAGCTGAAAAAGGATTAGATTCATATACCTGAGCATTATTAGAATGTAAAATACGCATACGACAACCATACTGAGTTTTTATTTCTTTGCGAAAAGTCTCAAATATAGAGAATAATTCAGAACGAGCTTTCATCAGAAACAACTAAGTCACATGAGAATAATCATCCACAAATGACACAAAATAAAGATATTTATTAGATGAAATATTCTTTATTGGACCCCATACATTAGAATGTACCAGGTCAAATAAATTAGACACACGATTATTGACTCTAGACTGAAAGGACACACGGTGATGCTTACTAAGTTAACAAGGTTCACAAGATAAAGACGACACATTACTAAGACTGAGAACTTGACGCTTCAAATTCTGGAGAGAGGGATGTTCAAGATGACAATACCATTGAAAATGAGACAATGAGGTCGCTAGAATTCGAGTAGATGAATCAAAGTCAAAGTAATAGAGACCACCTGAATTGAACTGGGCTTAAGAACAATTCAAACCCGCTTAGCCAAACCGACCCAAACTGACCTGCTAAGGGTCGTCTTCTCCACTACTAGGGTTTCAATCGTAACCCTGTTGCTCGTTGCGNATTAGACACACGATTATTGACTCTAGACTGAAAGGACACACGGTGATGCTTACTAAGTTAACAAGGTTCACAAGATAAAGACGACACATTACTAAGACGGGGAACTTGACGCTTCAAATTCTGGAGAGAGGGATGTTCAAGATGACAATGCCATTGAAAATGAGACAATGAGGTCGCTAGAATTCGAGTAGATGAATCAAAGTCAAAGTAATAGAGACCGCCTGAACTGAACTGGGCTTAAGAACAATTCAAACCCGCTTAGCCAAACCGACCCAAACTGACCTTAAGGGTCGTCTTCTCCACTACTAGGGTTTCAATCGTAACCCTGTTGCTCGTTGCGCTTCCTCAACGACGCAAACAATTGTCGACAGTGCAGGTCCTCGACGATGCAACCACCATGCCACCACAGCAAGTCTTCGACGACTAAAACAACCACCACCACCGATGTAACAGCTCCACCGCTGACGTTGTAACAGTGCAATCACAATCACCGCCGATGATGCAACACAACCTCCTCAACAAAGTACGATTAACCTCCGCCCACACTTGTGTGGTTATTAAACCAACACCCATGACCACGGTTCTTAAAACTGAGCCAAGAACGGCAACAGAACAAAATAGAGAAGAAGAAAAGAAAAAATGAAGAAAAAAATTTCAAAAAATTGAATAGTATTTTTAAGGATTAATCTTGCTCTGATACCATGTTAAATTTAGAGAGTTAACACAATATTAGAAAAAGACAAAGAGTAGTCAAAAACATTACCTACCTCTCACAAACCACTTGTATTTATAGTTAACATACAATAATAAAAAAGACGTATACACCCTCTTATATTTACACATAATACCCTAATACTTTAACAGAAATATACTAAAATATCTTGAAATACTTTGAAATATATCGAAATAATTGTGCAAATGCATTGAAATATAACAAAATATTTTGAAACATTATGGAACACTTCGAAGTATTAGAATTTTGATTTCATCATTGATTTGTTTCGGTCTCCTTGGAAATGGAAATGTTTCGGACGTTCGACTATTTCGGAATGATATTTTGATTCTTAATTGCTTGCTATTGCTGATTTTTCATTGGTTGAATTAGAGCCTAAAGTAGTTGATCGGCTTATGTAAGTGTTATAAGATGGGTTCTGAAGGGGTAACAGGCTGGATACTCATTAGCATACACCTTTGTCATCCTCTCTCTCCTCTCAGATGACTTATTTTAAAATCACTAAGTGCTCTGACTTTGAGACCTCCAAAATCTGGCTCAATTGATGCTTCTGTTTTTATCTTTTAAAACATGCTATCAGTTTGTCATTCCCCTCTACATTTTATTTTGTTCTTTGTTAATGGAAAAAAAACTTTATAAGGAAATCACACTTTCCAATTTACTGAAGCTGCATTGCTCCCTCTGCAGGATCTGTTTGGTTTGCTTCAGAAATGAAAGCCCTGAGTGATGACTGTGAGCGATTTATGTCTTTCCCTCCGGGGCATATATATTCTAGCAAAAGTGGTATGGATGTTTTTTTTTTCAGTACATAAACATTAGAAGGTATTCATATTTTGAGTGGGTGATTGATTATTTTCAATTGCATGTCTTTCAATTACCTATTGATAGTTTTTGGAATCATCGACTTAGTTTCTTATGATCACCTATTCTCTTCTNTTCCTCCGGGGCATATATATTCTAGCAAAAGTGGTATGGATGTTTTTTTTTTCAGTACATAAACATTAGAAGGTATTCATAATTTGAGTGGGTGATTGATTATTTTCAATTGCATGTCTTTCAATTACCTATTGATAGTTTTTGGAATCATCGACTTAGTTTCTTATGATCACCTATTCTCTTCTTTCAAATTTTGTTTTGGGATCTTCTTGTAGAGAGATCTTGCAAGCTTTTAATTCTAGATGTTATCTTTTTAAAGGTAAGCAGTCTAGAACTATTTGACGAATCTAGACCCAAATAAATGTTTTTAAAGTTTTCATCTCAAGCCATTGGTGAGGATCATGTACTGTGAAGCAAAATATGAGAATATTTATTATAGTCTTCTGAAAAGGTAGTGAAGTTTGTATGGGGTAAACATTTCATGAATAGGCTATTATTGGTATAATATTTGCCGAGAACTTGTTGAGGGTTTGAAGACAATGTCTCACGTTCAGGATGGTTGACTTATAAGAAACTTGTGTTAAATTCACTAAGCTCAATATCTTGTCTGAAGCAACAACAAATTACATCATTATCAATATGGAAGGATTCTTTTCTGCCACATTCTCTCTTTGTAAGTGTTTCTAATGTTTCAAACAGTACTATCTAGTATACTTGTCTTAGCATAGTATGTCCGCAGGAGGGCTCAGAAGATGGTATAACCCACTATGGTATTCAGAACAGATACCTTCAGCACCCTACAATCCCGTAGTCTTACGTCAAGCATTTGAGAAGGTCAGTTTGCTCTGGATTTTCCTTGTGTAACGTCTTTCTATTGAGTTTTGAATACTAATGTAGTAAGCTATTCTTTCTATTACAAAACATGTATTTTATCATTTGTTCTTACTTTCAAAATGGGTGAAGCATATGTCTGCTTTAAGACAACAATTTTTGATATGATTTCTGGTCATATGTCTTTGTACGATTTTTGGGGTCCGCTTAATGGGGTGATCTTTGTTACTTAGGGGTGAGTGATGAGATGAGGAGCTTGGATGGTTGAGGAAGGTGTGTAGATCTATCAAGTGCTTCGAGGGGATGAAATCACTGACTCACTTAGTCATGTCTGGTGATTTAAGGGTTCAAGGGTTACAATAAATATCAAACAAGGTTTTGGGAAGATCTTGATTATCATTAAAGGGGGTTCTAGTGGTATGCAACTTATTTGGGGCCATTATTTGGATTACCTTCATAACTTAAAATGGATGCTCCTTGGGTGCTAAGGGCTTTACAAGACAAATGGTTCTTCCTACCCTGCATTCTGCCATTTCTTGAAATTAGGAGATGCGCTGGGAGAAGAGTTTACTCCATTTGAATTTGTCGTCATTGTTTATTGATAAACTAGCTCCGAGAACTTGAAAAGTCCTTACTTTCCTTTTGACTTGAAGCATATGTAACATCATGTTCCATTGCTTGAAACCAAGTGATTCCAACATGTGCACTTTGCAGTGCCTTGAGTTGATGTTACGCTGTCTCTGAGTGTGTTCATATGCATAATCACAGGTGTCTATTCTTACATTTGGCTACGGTTTATAGATCTTTCCCAGAAAGTTTAATCAGAGGCTGGAGAGGCATAAGGAATTGCTTCATACTTACTCAAATGGCACAACTAGTTGACTCTTTTATCGGCTTTGTACAAATAAATATTAGTTTTCTGACTACATTTTATCCGCTATACCATCTAGAATAGAAACTCTAGCGTATTTTTATTGTCCTCTAGCATATGCTGAAATGATTTTTAATATGAAAAACTTAAAATATTATATTAATATTTTTTTATGTGTAGATAATACATGGGCTCCTACCTTGGCTTTCATAAATTCCTGCTTGATTGCAACTGTATGAACGCAAGATAATAAAAAATGTTCTTAGAGCACCAGCTTGTTGAGGGAGGTATTACCACTTTTTGATAGGTCATAGAACTATCGAAAAGGAAAATAAAGAAAACAGTAGCATGGCTGAGCCATAATTGTAGCGGAGGGTGACCAAAACTTAGATAAATAAAGCACTCAAATTGATAAGAATTANAAGATTGGTATAATATTTGCCGAGAACTTGTTGAGGGTTTGAAGACAATTGGTCTCACGTTCAGGATGGTTGACTTATAAGAAACTTGTGTTAAATTCACTAAGCTCAATATCTTGTCTGAAGCAACAACAAATTACATCATTATCAATATGGAAGGATTCTTTTCTGCCACATTCTCTCTTTGTAAGTGTTTCTAATGTTTCAAACAGTACTATCTAGTATACTTGTCTTAGCATAGTATGTCCGCAGGAGGGCTCAGAAGATGGTATAACCCACTATGGTATTCAGAACAGATACCTTCAGCACCCTACAATCCCGTAGTCTTACGTCAAGCATTTGAGAAGGTCAGTTTGCTCTGGATTTTCCTTGTGTAACGTCTTTCTATTGAGTTTTGAATACTAATGTAGTAAGCCATTCTTTCTATTACAAAACATGTATTTTATCATTTGTTCTTACTTTCAAAATGGGTGAAGCATATGTCTGCTTTAAGACAACAATTTTTGATATGATTTCTGGTCATATGTCTTTGTACGATTTTTGGGGTCCGCTTAATGGGGTGATCTTTGTTACTTAGGGGTGAGTGATGAGATGAGGAGCTTGGATGGTTGAGGAAGGTGTGTAGATCTATCAAGTGCTCCGAGGGGATGAAATCACTGACTCACTTAGTCATGTCTGGTGATTTAAGGGTTCAAGGGTTACAATAAATATCAAACAAGGTTTTGGGAAGATCTTGATTATCATTAAAGGGGGTTCTAGTGGTATGCAACTTATTTGGGGCCATTATTTGGATTACCTTCATAACTTAAAATGGATGCTCCTTGGGTGCTAAGGGCTTTACAAGACAATGGTTCTTCCTACCCTGCATTCTGCCATTTCTTGAAATTAGGAGATGCGCTGGGAGAAGAGTTTACTCCATTTGAATTTGTCGTCATTGTTTATTGATAAACTAGCTCCGAGAACTTGAAAAGTCCTTACTTTCCTTTTGACTTGAAGCATATGTAACATCATGTTCCATTGCTTGAAACCAAGTGATTCCAACATGTGCACTTTGCAGTGCCTTGAGTTGATGTTACGCTGTCTCTGAGTGTGTTCATATGCATAATCACAGGTGTCTATTCTTACATTTGGCTACGGTTTATAGATCTTTCCCAGAAATTTTAATCAGAGGCTGGAGAGGCATAAGGAATTGCTTCATACTTACTCAAATGGCACAACTAGTTGACTCTTTTATCGGCTTTGTACAAATAAATATTAGTTTTCTGACTACATTTTATCCGCTATACCATCTAGAATAGAAACTCTAGCGTATTTTTATTGTCCTCTAGCATATGCTGAAATGATTTTTAATATGAAAAACTTAAAATATTATATTAATATTTTTTTATGTGTAGATAATACATGGGCTCCTACCTTGGCTTTCATAAATTCCTGCTTGATTGCAACTGTATGAACGCAAGATAATAAAAAATGTTCTTAGAGCACCAGCTTGTTGAGGGAGGTATTACCACTTTTTGATAGGTCATAGAACTATCGAAAAGGAAAATAAAGAAAACAGTAGCATGGCTGAGCCATAATTGTAGCGGAGGGTGACCAAAACTTAGATAAATAAAGCACTCAAATTGATAAGAATTATTATATGTTTGGACATCTTTTTAAGTGCAAGCATAAGAAATATATTTATAGTCACACTAAATTGCTACCAGAAAAATAATATTAGCATCATTCATCTGTGATTGATTGTGTGCTAAATTTCTCAAAGGTTTCCTTTCCAATGTACATAAATCAAGGAGTCCACGAGAAGGTCATCCTCCATTTTTACTGAAAAGTATGTAGCTAAAAGTGATTCCCAGCCTAACTGTGTCTCCTTCACTGGTTACATTGATTTGAATGATCACCAAACAAATTCGGTCCCTAACTCGTGTATTTTTTTGACTTTTTATACTAAGAAGATAAGAAGTGGGTGAAGTTGAACTTTCAGTCATATCAAAAGCCTGTTGTACTTCGTAGTCTTTCCAGAGACATACCATGCTAGGGTAAAAAAAAAGATAAAAAAAATTAAGGGGGGCGATAAGTCAAATGGTATAGTAGTCTTTTATCTGTAATAGGATATATAAGGAGTGTAAAACGCAGGAGGGGCCATGGACCACCCTGGTCCAATAGTGCCTTCACCACTGTACATAGCGAAGAAAAATGGAGAGGCCAAAAAACTTTGAGACTGTGCCTTACTCTCCTTTGATCTGTCTTATCCTACGGTCTCAGTGAATTTGTAAGGGACTTTGTATGGGTGCACTGGCAAAGGAAGATGTTGCCTACATAAATGTGAATTGTTCTCTAGCCATCTATGAGGAAAAATAGATATAGGAAAAAAAGGATGATGAACATGGTACTCTTTGAGAAATAGAAGAAATGCAATGNCTGTCTCAGTGAATTTGTAAGGGACTTTGTATGGGTGCACTGGCAAAGGAAGATGTTGCCTACATAAATGTGAATTGTTTCTCTAGCCATCTATGAGGAAAAATAGATATAGGAAAAAAAGGATGATGAACATGGTACTCTTTGAGAAATAGAAGAAATGCAATGTTTTGAAGTGAACCATTAGTTGAGAGTTAGTGCTCCTATTTGTGTTTGGTGGTTGGGATGCCCAGACGTAATTTTGACTGGAATTAGTTAATAATATGTAGTTTTTAAGGGCACTAGTTGATTGGTGCCAAAGGCGAGGGGTAAGGTCCTTGGGAGATCTGGAGTGGGTTATTGAGTTATGCAAGTTGACAGCCATAGGAATAGATGATTCAATACCTAGGGATCCAAAAATGTATTGTGCAGGTATTGTTGGACAAGATGGATGTGCACATATAACATTGCAAGTTTGGCCTTGGAGGAATTCTTTAACGTCTATATTTTAGGAGGATAATTATGCGAGAATAAGTCATGCAACGATATTGGAAAGTGGCTTATTCATAATGATTTTTTCATTAGCCGAGAACGTAAATATATATGCAATTAGTTGAAATGATTTTCCTAATTCAAACAGGTTCTCCTTTTTACATTGTAATTATTTTTAGGCTTTTTGATGGGCCAAAACATAAGCAGGTTTTCTTTCAAATGTTATAGAAGCCAGATTTCCTTTCTCTGAATTATTCATCACGGATTTAAGTGATTCTGGAGTGTGAGGCAAATGTTCTTCTCCTTCTTCACATCATCATCATCTTCTTCTTTTCCTCCTCCTCTTTGGGTGCGAGCGTTTATATCTTTAATTCCTTGATTTCTGGTTAGTTCTTACTCGTGTACAAGTTTTTTGTAAGCTTCTAATAGCATATGAGGAAGAAAAAAATTTCAATTGAAATTGTGCTTTTATTGTTCTTCCATTGACTTTTACAGACTAGTGACTATCATTTTAGTGCTATGTTCTTTTACCATTTTTGTCTAAATTGTATGCAGGCTGTAGTTAAGAGACTTATGACGGATGTACCCTTTGGGGTACTTTTGTCGGGAGGACTAGATTCATCACTTGTTGCTGCTGTGGCTTCCCGCCATATGGCTGAATCAGAGGCTGCTTGTCAGTGGGGGTCACAATTGCATACCTTCTGCATTGGGTTGAAGGTGACAATACTTACCTTATATGATATTGCTTTTTCTTGCACTTGCACTTGTGTATTTAGCTGCCGTTATGGGATGGTACTTGGATCATAATGTAGTACAGGCCTCTTCCTGGCAATGCTTTTAAGTGATTAAAAAGAAAGAGAAAGATTCTTCCACTTCTTTGGATTTAGTTCTGAATCTTCTCTGTGTAATGTGCAGAGTCAGTAAGTAGAATGTACCAGGATTGATCATTTGCATTTAACTGTTGTGGAATCATATGGTTGAGTGGTTATTATTATGTTATGTATTTTGGCTATTGGTAATTAGCAGGGTTTGAACCCTACCAGGCAGCAACCATTAATGGTATCAAAGAGGATCTCATTGAACCTGACAAATTTTTCTGTGATTTTTGGGTTATGGGATTAGAAGAAATATTTTATTTTGTAATNATCAGGCAGCAACCATTAATGGTATCAAAGAGGATCTCATTGAACCTGATAAATTTTTCTGTGATTTTTGGGTTATGGGATTAGAAGAAATATTTTATTTTGTAATGCATTTTAATATTTTATTTGAAAAAACTTTGATCATGTTTTGAAAGAAGCTTGTATTCACTGAATTTGAATATTCTTGTGCATAACTATTTATTCTCTCTTTCCCTGACCTTATACAGGACATCTTCGTTCTTTGTTGACTCTCTTTTTGTTTAGCCATGATGAAATTGCAGTTGTGTTCCTAACTATTTTGAAAACTACACACTCCACAGGTATTAGTGTCCAATATGATGGTAAACCTGGCGTGGTGATCACATATAATTGATATGAATTGTTGGTGGGGACCAAGGCACACCAGTAGTATTTACAAAACTATATATATCTAAATTGAAGCTCACCCTCACCCCCCAAAAGTAGTGCATGGCTTTGATTCCAATAAAGCTTCTTGTGTCTGAATTGTACGTGGGGTTGACTACAAAAAGCCTTTCCCACTCAGCTCTATCTGAGGCCACTTCTTTGATTAGTTTCATGGTATCTTGTCTGTCAGCATACTCAGCTCATTTTCTTTTTGTCCAACCTCTTGTCCTTTTGGTGTCTTTGGATTGAATTGAATCACTCGTTTGTCCCAATACCCAATTTGGTCCAGATTAGACATGGCTAACCCCTTTCATTTTAGCTTTTTACTAGTGTCACTTCTCACAAACAAAGAATTCTTCATTCTTACAGTTATATTGCTAGCTATTCATCTTAACTTCTTCANGACTAACCCCTTTCATTTTAGCTTTTTACTAGTGTCACTTCTCACAATCAAAGAATTCTTCATTCTTACAGTTATATTGCTAGCTATTCATCTTAACTTCTTCATTTGGTAGCATTCTTTTTAACTACCAACATATTTTTTATAATGTCATGGTATTGGGTGTTCTTGTTTCACCTAATCTAGTATCTATAGTAGATTTATTTTATGTAATTATATGTCTTAAATGTTGTGTTCCACTCTACATTTTGTCTTTTAGGGTTCTCCCGATTTGAAAGCTGCCAGAGAAGTAGCAAATTACCTTGGCACCCGTCACCATGAGTTTCACTTTACTGTTCAGGTGATATGTCAAAAGTATGAGAGAGTGTAGATTGTGTGCATCACTCCACCTTCCAATTAACAGATTGTTTGCTTTGCTATGGCAGGAGGGAGTAGATGCACTTGAGGAGGTCATCTATCACATTGAAACATATGACGTGACTACTGTGAGAGCCAGTACGCCAATGTTTCTTATGTCTCGAAAAATCAAATCTTTGGGAGTGAAAATGGTTCTTTCTGGGGAAGGTTCGGATGAAATTTTTGGTGGTTACTTGTATTTCCATAAAGCACCTAACAAGGAGGAGTTACACCAGGAAACTTGTCGAAAGGTATTACATGTCATCAGTCTTTCTCCTTTTGTGCAAATCAAAAGCAACAGTGGTGTACTTGGTGAATGAGCTCAATTTTACTGTAGTACCTTCTCTATAACTCTCCATTTTAATTGCTTCTTTGGTGTTGAATCAGATTAAAGCTCTTCATCTCTATGATTGCTTGAGGGCCAACAAATCAACTTCAGCATGGGGTGTTGAGTCTCGTGTACCCTTTTTAGATAAAGAATTTATCAATGTTGCGATGGGTATTGATCCAGAGTGGAAAATGGTAAAGCAAGATTTCTAAATTTTGTTATTTCCCTAATTTTTGAATTGTATAGATGCTCAAGATGTTTACGCTAGTAGTAGGGCTATGAATCACAGGAGCTAAGCTGAGTTTGGTATGTATGAGTTTGGCTTGGATCGGTCAGGTAATAATTTGTTTGGGCATACTTTTACATTGAGTGGAGCTCAGTCATGGCCTTTCAAGCTGGGCTAGTCCTACCTTTACACAAGCTTAAGATCAGCTTAAGTCAGCAGGCCTTGATTAGACAATTACCCAGAGCTGGGCCAATGTGGTTTAACTATTAACCCATGCTCTTCCAAAAAGTGATTCTGTTATCTGCTTGAAAATTCCAAATAATGTGCAACACACTGAAGAACTCTGAGGATGAAATGTATGAAAAGGAGAGCAATTACTTTATCTATTTAAATCACCTATTTGCCACTTGTGTCTTTGCTTGACTAGACTGAACTTCTGAAAAAATCTCAAGAGAAAACCCTCGACAAGAATGAGACATTAATATTAGGAAGAGGAGACAGCTCGATTATTGAGGAACTTCAAGAATTTCTGGTGGCACACAGAACTTTTAGGTGGCATTGTTAAGTAAACTAAATTGATGGTTAAAGTGGCTTTGTTAGGCCGAGCATTGTAGCACCAAGAAATCTTGGTCACTGAACCTGGGCCAGTTTGGATTTGGCTTCTTTATAAAAAAAGCTCCATATGAAGACTCTAGCTAACTTGTGGAAGGTTATGGAATCAAAACTTTGTTTTGGGCATTTTTGCGTTTCGATCACCAAGAGTTTTGGGGAATTCCTTNTGGAATCAAAACTTTGTTTTGGGCATTTTTGCGTTTCGATCACTAAGAGTTTTGGGGAATTCCTTAATTTTTTTTTTATCTTGTCAGAATGGAGAGCTTAATGCGATTTGGTGTTAGGTCCATTTGTAGTGGAAGTCTAATATGTACAGTTCTCTTTGTTGTTTGATGTCTGCTCAGCTCCATTCTCTGGCAACTCCATCTATTTTTTTCTTTTGAAAATCCTAGCTTCTGCTACTTGGCTACCGAAAACATAGAGTAAGAAGCAATATATTGCCTTCTTTTAAGTGTGAAAAATGTCAACTGCAAGCAGGCCTCAAGAAGATTCAAGCTTAATTTTTTTTGATGAATGTGCATCTCAAACACGACTATATGTCTTTGGCTTCCATTTATGCTTTGTATCATATGGTTTCCTCCTCAACAAGCCATGTGATCTAAAAGTGCATTACTTCTTTACGGTTCTACATTATTTGCTTGTCTGCTCAGGAATGTATGTGATATTATAGTGTGTGGTGCTCATTTCTATATATGCATGAGAGCATAAAGAGTCATCATGGTAATTCTTTAAACTACACATGCAGTGGAATTGATTCTCCGACTGTACTTTCAAATAGTGGGTAGTACAATTAAGCAATTAGCACAGTAAAGTTTGTCAACAAATGCTGATGATTTATCCAACAATTACAGGTCAGGCCTGATCTTGGAAGGATTGAGAAGTGGGTTTTGCGCAATGCTTTTGATGATGATACGAACCCTTATCTACCAAAGGTTTGTGGGCTCCTCTCATAACCAATCTACTATTCTGCTTTACAGCTTTAATCTTTACTGTTCTTATTTCTGTCAATCTGAGCTACTGCCGCTGTCTTAAGTTCTGTATGTCCTAAACCCCCTCTGCCCTTGCTAACCCTGTCCCTCCAAGAAATTAGAAACAAAATAGGGAGAAACCAACTCCCACCCATTCTTTTATCTGTCATAGAGTTCTGAGGAGTGCCTTTTGCTGGTTTCAGCACATATTGTATAGGCAGAAGGAACAGTTCAGTGATGGGGTTGGGTACAGCTGGATTGATGGCTTAAAGGATCATGCTAACCAACAGGTGCAACATTTTCTTACTTTGTGCAAAGAATGAAATGATTTTGGATTTGATTGGATATTTCAGCGCTGTTCTCTGATGATTAAATCAGTTTTTAAACATTATGGGCAGGTTACTGATGGGATGCTAACAAATGCAAATTTTATTTATCCTGAAAATACACCCACAACAAAAGAGGCATATTATTACCGGACAATCTTCGAGAGGTTCTTTCCCAAGGTGAGTTGACAAGCTTCTTTTCTCTCTAGCTTTTTTTTTTCTTTTCCGTTCCTTGCTTTCCCTTCCAAATATTTGGAATACTATTCATGTGCCTTATAGCGTAGTGAAAGGTGCTCCTCTATGATCCATTTGAAATCAAAGAGGGCATCTGAGATATGAAAACTTAGATCTTACAGTGCATGAAATTAATGTGATCTTGTACGGTCCCAAGTTTTCTGTACTTTCTGCAACTCTTTTGCAGCTTAGCGGTGCATTTCATGGACTAACCTACTGTGTTCACTCTGATGGTCAATCCAATCTGTTCCTTATTCTAAATAAGTTTATTAATTTTCCATCTCGAGCAGAATGCGGCAAGGTCAACAGTTCCCGGAGGTCCAAGTGTGGCATGCAGTACAGCAAAAGCTGTAGAATGGGATGCAGCATGGTCCAAAAATCTTGATCCGTCTGGACGGGCTGCTCTTGGGGTTCATGAAGCTGCTTATGAGGACACATCGGATGGTAAAATTGCCAACGCGGTGAACAGCTCGGCTCAGAAAATAGTGGCAGAGAATATTGCGGCAGTTGTTTGACTTTAGATTCCATAGAATAAGTTCAATCAATTCACATATGTTCGTCGGCGCTAAACCAGGTTTTGTTATCATTTCGAAAGTTGCCCATTTAGTAGGAATTGATGACCGATCACATATAGATCTCTGATATCAAGTACAGTTTCTAGCACTATTTATATAAGAGAACCTGCTCCCTTATTCCAGATTGAATGAAATATTTACGTTTGTTGCTGGGTTAGCTGAACTCAACCTGTTCATTTCTGAATAAGGCCGATTACAATATTACTTGACTCGAGTTTTATGTGTTATCCTGCTCAATTTTGTATATACTCAGTTACGTTACATGCGATTGTAACTTAAAGGAGGAAAGTAGCAAATCTGGACAAAGAAAAAGCTTTGGAAGTTGCAGGTTGCCCACCTCATTTGGTTGTGCATAGGAGTGTTACCTTGTGTCATGCCATCTTGGTGTCATCATTTTTTTATCGCGTCATTGGAATTCTTGTCGTGTTCCCATTAGTATTCACACAATTTTTTTTAATGTGCTACAAATGTCTAACACTAATTCAGCTTATTTATTATTTTTACATTTATTAACTACATCAATTTTAGAAACAAATCTTGTTTGTATCAATGGGTAAAATTGACACCCCTGGTTGTACTTTTACATCATCCACCAATGGGTAAAATTGACACCCCTAGTTNAGTTCAGCTTATTTATTATTTTTAGATTTATTAACTACATCAATTTTAGAAACAAATCTCGTTTGTATCAATGGATAAAACTGACACCCCTGGTTGTACTTTTACATCATCCACCAATGGGTAAAATTGACACCCCTAGTTGTACTTTTACATCGTCCTTTACAATGAAACCCTCTCTCTCCCTCCTCACACAGAAAAACCGAATTGTTTTTCACACTATTTGACTCCAATACAAAGCAAAATGGTTTACAACTCAGCAGCATTAAAGCACCATCCAGCAGAACCAAAAATCAGTTGGTTTGAGAATCGTGTTGGGAAAAGGAGAAAATAAAGCAATATTGAATNCGCTCTCTCTCCCTCCTCACAGAAAAACCGAATTGTTTTTCACACAATTTGACTCCAATACAAAGCAAAATGGTTTACAACTCAGCAGCATTAAAGCACCATCCAGCAAAACCAACAATCAGTTGGTTTGAGAATCGTGTTGGGAAAAGGAGAAAATAAAGCAATATTGAATTGTGTTTGCCCAACTTCCCCTCTTGAGCTTTGAAGGCAGGTCTGAAATCTTTACATTTTGCCCTAACTAGAGGTTAAGACAATATCCCCATAACACATCTCCTAATCCTCGCTGAAAGCATAAGAAATTTAGGTGGTTATTCTCATGTATTATATTATAAAACAATGTGCACTAACCATTGATACCTCAAAATGACTGGGACCAATGCAAAACAGCACTCTGTATAGACAAAGTAGGACATGACTGTACAAGGGTAACAAAACACAGGTACAATAATTCTTCTATGTTCAGTTGTTAGGTGGAAACCAGCATCAAGCATGACTATCAAAGCCAAACTCACAGATTCACAAGGTGAGACTGATCATCAAAATGAAATGCAGTCTGCTTCAAGCTAGAAAAATATTTACCAGCGCCAAATCCCAGGTGCCTCCATCCGTAACAAAGAAACCATCTCTTCGTACTTTGAAGCGTATACGAAGCCCCATAACTGCATGACATGGGAAGCTCTTGTAATATCCGTGTCATTTTTTTGTCTTGGGTAAAGAAAAAAATTTGTGAACATATTTCCTATACACATCTCACGCTTGATTCTGAGTAATTACCGAAGCAAAAATAAATGTGTGTGTGTGTGTGTGTGAGAGAGAGAGAGAGAGGTAGCTCCGTGAATACCTCAATTTCCTTCACTCCAAAATCTTCAGTGTGTGCCAAACAAGGGTTCCCATAAGTTTCTGAGGCCGAACTTGAACCAGTCAATCTTCAAAAGGAAAATTACAAATTAGATACCAACAATAGCATTCAGCTTTGTAAATAGGCATATTTCATATCAGCAAAAATACTAGATAATGACGGGAGCACAGCTCTTACAGATCACCATCCAAATACAGTGCAAAGTGACCACCCCCACCCAATGCTAGATAGTTGGTGAAGCACAAAGTGAAATAGCAGTTCACACCTGGATAGACGTGAGATCCAACATATTATTGAAACCATAATAAGCAGAACTAGTAATACAAAAACTGTAAAAGCCAGAAGGAAAAACAACTAGTTTAAGTGTTCAGAGCAGATGCGGGGCACCCACTCATGAGTGGCAGATGATTGCAAGCTGGACCAAACACTATTAACAAAACATGGTAACTTTTTAACATTTTAGTTCTGAATTTAACATGTTCAACTAAAGTTGTCAAGTCTCAGTAATTTGTAATCTTATCCTTTATTTGAATTTTCTTATCTCTTTTCACAGCCATCACCAGTGATAAGTTGAATTTAATGGGAGACCTGGTTAACTAGAAACAATCTGTCAGCTTTTACTAGTGTTTGTTCTGCTTTCTTAGATGATACATATATCAAAATCTTGAAGGCACAAGATTAGAGTCCGAAAGGATGGTAATTGAAACAATCAAGTGAAATTATTTTAGCCCACCCCCAAAACACACACACACACACACACACCAAAACAAAAAAAAACACTCACAAGAGAAAGCATTATAATGGACATAGATGTCCAGTGTTTTCCAAGGGTTACTGAGATGGTTCAGATAGGACAGGAAGAAACTTCTAACCCAAATGTGACAGTTGAAAACAATATATAGCAGATGAATTCAGCTACATTAAAGATCAAAAATCATTTGAATACATTCCTACTTTACTTGCAAGTTGGTCAGCATAGTGATTTTGAGGAAGAGGACATGACCGACTCCTCTCCTGGAAAATCCTGACATAAAGAATAACACCACACACCAGCACTCAAGCACATAAATATTTAGTAAACCTCAAGGCATTATGTGCTTGCAAGCAAAGTTTTCATCACTCGAAAACAACAATGGAATAAAAAATGCACTTTTAGATACTGAAAACTTTGCAATTGTACAGTTTTCCAAAAAGCACATCATGATATTAGACATCTATACAGGATGCAAAACAAGTATTCTGTAACACGCGCAGCATATCTTCATTTGAATAGGAGAAGCACTTTAATGCATTTTTAAAACCAAGAAGAAAAGGGAAATCTTTTGCTCCTTTCCGAACAAATGGATGCTCAATGACAGTTGCCAGGAAAGCAACATAGATGATTAATACCTGTGGGACGAAATATAACAGGATGGCCAGGTGTATTCGTGAAAACAAAGGAATTATAGGTTCCCTGTCTAAAAAAAAGCCTTGAGTACACTGAAAAAGGGAAATAAAAAAACTTGCTCAGTATTTCCAGAAAAGTAACCATTCTAAAGCCATTCAGCATCACCTGATATCTTCTCTTGTTCGTTGCCTGTAAGGGTGCTTCAACTAAGCCACCAAATACAGCTCCCTTTCGGTCTCCAACAACCTGAAGGATTTGATGCATGAGAGAGAGAAAGAGTGTGTTCATCCCTGGTATGATTTATGCATATAGAAAAAATTAAGTAATCCAGGAGGTCACGTCCAACACTTTCACACATTAAAGAAACAAGAAACCAAAAGAATTTCAGAAGCAACATAAAATTTGGATTTCCTTTTCTTGTTTCTTGTTTTATTGAGTCCTCAGAAATTCCATAAAAAAATATCCCACTCCAAACAGAAGGATAAAAGAAATCTAAATTCAGGTTACCATATGCTTCATGTCTGTAAAATTAGTGCTGCTACAACCGAGGGAAAAATAAACTTAGTGTGAAGAGATATATCGTCTCAGACTATTCAATCATGGTAGTGCTCGAAGAATTTGTTTTCGCTCATAAACCAATCAAAATTGCATTTTTAGAGTATAAAGATCGAAGGCTAACAAAACATGGTTAATGTTATGGGAACCAGAATCACTGTCGTGGCTATAAATCTAGGAAAGACGTACACTTGATTTTGGCAAAAAATGTCGGTGTTGGACACATTTGGGACATAGACACACTTTGGACATTTAAAATGAGGTCAATTTTTTTTATTATTACATTTTTTTCCGGACACGTTTGGGACACGAGACCGAAACGTGATTGACATGTTGGAAGACAAGTTTTGATTTTTTTTTTCTTCTCCTAATTTTTAAAAACTTTTCAAATAACTTTATAACTATGACAATTGTTTATATAATTTCAAAAAGTTACAACATAAAAAGAGTTGTAATCACTACATCAACAAAGGGTATTGATATAAACATAATTTCAAACACAATTACAAAATTATACACAATTGGAATACATTTTGCATATGAAAATAATTTGTCAAAAAATAGGGTTATGAAATTGGGGCTCTTTAAAATCAAATAAAAATTTGGATTACGAAGTGGGATATTTTTAAAAATGAAATTTGTAGTAGTGAATGATTATTGGATCATGGATTTTTGTGATAAATGTGTCTCAGTATATTTGATATTTTATTTTTAATTCTATGATTCATGATGTGATCTGTTAGAATTGAGGAAATGATGAATTAAATTGTATTATAATATATTTATTTTATAATATAATCATATAAATAAATATATATAACAAATACATAATATTTAGCGTGTCCCCAACATAGTTATGAAATCGTGTATCGAAAGCCGTATCTATATCGTATCGTATATCGTAAGATACAGTGCAATTTTAAATAAATAATAAAAAATATATATACTTTTGAAAAAAAATCATACACTCATAAAAATATAGCATTTCATTAATACTCCACCACATATTCAAGTCATTAACATAGTTCACTAATATTATAATACAAAGTTTACGACCATAGTTCACTAATTCAAACTTCAAACACCAAAGAGACTTTTAATCCAAATTTATAACATCAATTTTAAACTCAATCCATAAAATTAATCAAGATTCATAAATTTTTATGCAAAAAAAAAATTAGTGTTTTATTTAGACAAAACGACGTTGTTTAAAAAAAAAACAGGTTTTGCACGTATCGGTCGTATTGTAAAAACGTATCGAACGATACGACGCAAAAACAATACATAATTATGATCCATATCATTTTACCTCCGTATCATACGATACGTATTGTGTATTGTACGATACTAACAACTATGGTCCCCAACATGTCTGTGTCCTACTTTTTTTTGATAAATTTATTTTCATCATGCGCATGACTTGTTGTATCTGTGTNCATATTCAAGTCATTAACATAGTTCACTAATATTATAATACAAAGTTTACGACCATAGTTCACTAATTCAAACTTCGAACACCAAAGAGACTTTTAATCCAAATTTATAACATCAATTTTAAACTCAATCCATAAAATTAATCAAGATTCATAAATTTTTATGCAAAAAAAAAATTAGTGTTTTATTTAGACAAAACGACGTTGTTTAAAAAAAAAACAGGTTTTGCACGTATCGGTCGTATTGTAAAAACGTATCGAACGATACGACGCAAAAACAATACATAATTATGATCCATATCATTTTACCTCCGTATCATACGATACGTATTGTGTATTGTACGATACTAACAACTATGGTCCCCAACATGTCTGTGTCCTACTTTTTTTTGATAAATTTATTTTCATCATGCGCATGACTTGTTGTATCTGTGTCCTTACTTCTTAGCAGTATAACTAATAACAATATACTATTTTAGGGGTGAACTACAACTAATTTAGTGTGTGGAAAGGGTATATATCCAAAGCACTATATTCCGAATATTGCAAATTAGGACCTGTAGTGTGTGTAGGAGATTATGTTTATGACATCTATGTTCANTCAGTGTCTTATTTAGACAAAACGACGTCGTTTAAAAAAAAAACAGGTTTTGCACGTATCGGTCGTATTGTAAAAACGTATCGAATGATACGACGCAAAAACGATACATAATTATGATCCATATCGTTTTACCTCCGTATCATACGATACGTATCGTGTATTGTACGATACTAACAACTATGGTCCCCAACATGTCTGTATCCTACTTTTTTTTGATAAATTTATTTTCATCATGCGCATGACTTGTTGTATCTGTGTCCTTACTTCTTAGCAGTATAACTAATAACAATATACTTTTTTAGGGGTGAACTACAACTAATTTAGTGTGTGGAAAGGGTATATATCCAAAGCACTATATTCCGAATACTGCAAATTAGGACCTGTAGTGTGTGTAGGAGATTATGTTTATGACATCTATGTTCATATACATATATTGGTCACGGCATGATGACAATTGAAAAGGTCAGGACTCAACATTCTTACAGCATAATAATGCTTGAAGAATAAGCTATTAATACTTGAACATTGATCCATCAGTCACTGATGGGTCTTGGAGCTGAGCAGAGGATATTAGATACAAAGAAGAACATGTAATCATATTGCCTTGATAAAGATAACATGCAATGCTTATCCTGTTTCAGTTATTTGCAAAACAAATATTTATTCAACTAATCCAGGACATACGAATCATGTGTATTATTTTTTACACTCAAATAATAAAAAATCTAAGGATGACACATGGCAAAATCCAACGGCCAGGATTAAGTCTAAGGGAGATAAAATAGTTAAGAGAAAAGGGTCTCCATGAATCTCAAATAATGAAGAGATGTGACATCATGAGCTGACGGTTGCAAACAGTTCGATGCACAATGAATGACGTTGGAGATAGAGGCCCTGATTACTAGTATCGTGCCCAAAAAAGATGGCTCCAGTGGTGAAGAGCCACCACCTATAAATACAAAGGCTTATGCTACAGAGGAAAGATCTCTCGATCACACACACACACAAACAGTATATTAGAGTCTTCCTCTGCATTGTTTAGCTTAGTTTATTTATTTATTTTTGCACTGTAATAGTCATTTCGATGACCTCCTTTCCATTTAATTTCAAATATAGTCGTTTATACAATAATTCCTCTTTTCTCATTTACATTGTTGTCTTTTTCCCCAAGTTATTTTAAATTACCAGTTCGTTTGTTCGCTACTAAGGAAATTGTTTAAATCCTTAATCTCTAAGGTAGAGAAAAGAATCCAAAAGTAAACTTACGCTTCGTTTCAACAGCTTGAACAATCACAATTTTAGAATCTCACGCCGGTTCAAGTAGGTCACAAGTGTTTGGAATATAAGTCCTTTCGAACTACGGCACGCCCGCAATCCAAAGTACGCCAAACAATTATTAATGACTTAGTGTTTAGAATCTAAGTCTATTCTGACTATGGCACATCTGCAATTCAAAATACGCTAAACAATTATTAATGATTTTGATTGATAAGAGAAGAAGTATTATGTTACAATGTTACAGGAGTGATATCCATTAGCTCGTATAGACATTTGGAATGACAAGATCATCCCTCCTAGAAAGATCGGTTTCATAATAGAAAAAATAGAATGCAGAGGCCTTTCTTTTGTCCAAGGAAACAATATTCCATCAATGCTTCAAACCAAAATAAGTTCTTCAGATGCATAATCACAAACACAAACAAGACAGCCCACACAGACCTTGAGATCACTCTCAAACATGAGACACAAAGTGAAGTCTTCGCTTAACTAGGATAGTACACATGCGCAAACACATGGACATGGACACACACTTATAATATTCAAGTGGGTAGAGACGAAAAATTTACCAGCAAAGTGAGGCCTGGGCAAAGCATGCTTCTTCTATACAAAGTTGAAAGTGAAATGCCATGCCTCCATGTACTGCAAGGAACAACACAGTAGTTACAGTAGTCTAACAATCTCAAACTATGGGAAATCCACGACTTCTGAAATATTCATATCCAACTTATGAAACAGAAGTTATGTTTCTGTACCTATATAGCAATACCCATTTCTTTCCCTGAGCTAGTGCCGGTAGTGCAACGTACAGAGCACCACGTGTCTTCTCAGACAGAAGCAATGAGGGTTCAGAAGTTTCTGGAAGAGTCTCTGAAGGTGCAGGTTCATTCAAAGTTTGCATAGAAATCTCGCCATCTTTGGAATTACTTATGTCACCCATTGTCATGTTGGAACTGCCCTTGGCTTTGGTTTGATTGTGGTAGCCACCTAGTCTAGCTGCCTGGTAGATAGCTCTGCCAAGNTTCTTTATTTTATCATTGACAATATTGTCTATTTAAAGTCATTCCCCATAGAGAGAGTAGACCAAATTTTTTCTCTCTCTAATGTTACTATGTGTATCTCTGTGGGCAATATTAGAAGTAATATTTTTATTTTGGAAAAATTAAAAGGAGGTATATCTAATTAGACTTAATTATAAAAAAATAAATAAAAAAAATATTAGGTAATTAAGTCCTTAATTTTGATCCTTATTTGTATCTAAGTACATAATTTGAATTTTACTAATTTTTTTGTGACATTTTTNTGTTGGGTAATTAAGTCCTTAATTTTGATCATTATTTGTATCTAAGTACATAATTTGAATTTTACTAATTTTTTTGTGACATTTTTATCCTCCATTAATTCATGTGTATGTATTTATATACTTGTTGTTAAATCTTTTATATAAATTTTNTCTTTATTTTATCATTGACAATATTGTCTATTTAAAGTCATTCCCCATAGAGAGAGTAGACCAAATTTTTTTCTCTCTCTAAAGTTACTATGTGTATCTCTGTGGGCAATATTAGAAGTAATATTTTTATTTTGGAAAAATTAAAAGGAGGTATATCTAATTAGACTTAATTATAAAAAAATAAATAAAAAAAATATTAGGTAATTAAGTCCTTAATTTTGATCCTTATTTGTATCTAAGTACATAATTTGAATTTTACTAATTTTTTTGTGACATTTTTACCCTCAATTAATTCATGTGTATGTATTTATATACTTGTTGTTAAATCTTTTATATAAATTTTGAATTATCTTTTAATACACCTTGATTCATGCATTTTTTTTTAAAGTGATTTTATTTTCAAATTAATTTAATATCTGAATAGTGTAATAGTGTAATAATAACAGTGCAACAATAAAAGTGTAACAATGTAACAATAACAGTGTAACAATAAAAGTGTAACATTACATATACAAAACTATTGAACACTGTTTTTGTTATAGTGTATTTGTTACATTGTCTTTGTTACATTGTATTTGTTATACTGTTATTGTTACACTATTATATTATTCAGATATTAAATTAATTTAAAAATAAANAATGTAATAATAACAGTGTAACAATAAAAGTGTAACAATGTAACTATAACAGTGTAATAATAAAAGTGTAACAATATAACAATAACAGTGTAACATTACATATACAAAACTACTAAACACTGTTTTTGTTATAGTGTATTTGTTACATTGTCTTTGTTACAGTGTATTTGTTATACTGTTATTGTTACACTATTATATTATTCAGATATTAAATTAATTTAAAAATAAAATTATTTTTCAAAAAAAAAAAACGCTTGAATCAAGGAGTATTAAATATAACTTGAAAACAAAATCACTTTCCAAAAAAAAATACACATGAATCAAGGTGCATTAAAAATAATTTAAAATTTAAATAAAAGATTTAACAATAAGGGTATATATATATATACATATTTATATGTATTAATAAATACACATGAATTAAGGTGCTTTAAATACGTATTTATATGTATTAACAAACACACATGAATGAGGGTGCATTAAAGATAAAAGATTTGAATTAAATGACCCTAAAATATGCATTTATGTCTTTGCAATTCAGCTGCGTACTTTTTTTCAAAATATTTTATTCTATGTATTTTTTGTCAAATAAATCTAATTAGGTTTATCGACTTCCAAAGAATCCTTTTATTTTTTGAGCAATGAGACCCACTGACCACTCACATGCTCTTGAAATTTTTTTCGAGGAGCATGTACTTAACAAATATGTTGAAAAGTGGAAAATTTGAATGTTCGAGGTTCAAATGAGTAATTCTAAGTTTAAGGGCAAAATTCAGTTTACCTTCTTGTGATTTGGATATTTTGCACATGACCCCCCTATGATTTTAAAGTCAGCACATTATTCTCTTATGTATTTGGACCGATATGCAAAATTAAGATCGTAAACAAAAGTGATAAAATGACTTTAGTACCCTCAACTATTCATCACCTTCTTTCTTCCTCTCAATTGTTGCCTAATTTTTTGAAAAATCAACCAACCATCCAATTTTACAAGTTTTTCTTTCTCTCCACAAAGCACCAAACTTCCTCAAACTAATGTCAATGTCCTCCACTCTCATCCTAGTTTTAAACCCCACAAACTTGTTTCCTTAAATAGCCTCCATGACTCACAAATTTAAGATCAAAGGTTATTACAAACTTATTTTGACAGGTTATGTACATATTAGATTTTTTTCAACATTTAGGCCAACTTTGGCCCTTAATTTCTCTCTCGTTTCTCAACCTTTTTGGTGATTCAAATGCCTATATTTAACTTGTTTCTACCCTCTTTCCAACCATGTATTTAGTTTGTCCAAATCATGCACAAGGTAAGTGAAAATCAAGCTCCAAAGTGACGGGTTCATCATTTTCAAAAATTGTCACAATTTTTAATTCAAATTTTCACCCACCAAACCTCATTATTTCTCAATTCTAACTTCAAAAATGGATTCCCTGATCCTAAAAATGGTGGATTGCGCCCCCCTTCACCTCCGAAACTCAAAATTTTGAATATCCAAAAATTCCAGTTTCAAGCTTAAACAAGGGTTTGATTTTCTCTCGCTATACACCATTCCCACTAAAGAAATGTTAGGAAATTGTTACTGAATATGAAAACAAGCTTACCCTATCATAAAATTGTGGATGATGCCTTGTAGCAAAAGTTCTCTTTGCTCGGGTTTTACAATACTACCCATTTGCAGAGTACAAACTCAAACCCCCAATCACCCTAATCGAAGCAAGGATTCTAGAGGATCAGAGGTGGAAGTAACTCGTCAAAATTCGTGGATCAGAGGTGAATCTTTTGTTTCCTGATAATCTTCGTTAATCTCTGTTATTACTGGTGTCTTGCTTGGTTGATTGAACTTGGCTTTGAAGTGGTGGCANTTTTCCTTTGTTTCCTGATAATCTTCGTTAATCTCTGTTATTACTGGTGTCTTGCTTGGTTGATTGAACTTGGCTTTGAAGTGGTGGCAATGGTGGTGATGCACAGTAGGTTGGTAATTTAGTGGAGTGCACAGAGATTGTGGCAATTTGTGTTGATGCATAGTAGAAATGGTGGAGGTAGTGGTGTTGTGGGGCGACACAATTGGAGAAAAAAATATGAAAGTCAATTGCTCAGGAAATATGAAAATTTAATAAGGGTATTATTGTACTTTTATTGTGTCTATTTTTGGAAGGCAACACATTTTATTATGTCAAACCTCTTGTTAGGCGCATGCATGTCACAGATGGTCTAATCTAACAAAAAAATTAACGGTAACATTTTAGTCCAAAAGCACAAGGGGGTAATGTGCTAATTTTCAAATCATAGGGGGGGTCATGTGCAAAACACCCAAACCACAAGGGGTAAATTGGATTTTGCCCTAAGTTNCAGATGGTCTAATCTAACAAAAAAATTAATGGTAACATTTTAGTCCAAAAGCACAAGGGGGTAATGTGCTGATTTTCAAATCATAGGGGGGGTCATGTGCAAAACACCCAAACCACAAGGGGTAAATTGGATTTTGCCCTAAGTTTAATTTGGGAGAGCAATGTTAAGCTGACCAAATTATTATCCAAATTTTATATTTCAAATCAATGTAGGTGGTTAGATTAGTGAGGTTCATTAACTTCACCAAATATTCAATGCATGTGTTTTTGACATATCACTTAAGATACAAAATTTGATAAACAAATTTAGGTAGTACACTTTTGTTTTTATTAATTTATTTATGCTATCTCAACTTAACTCGCTAATGATTAAACTAAAGTCAAACTTCATTTTATTTCCTTGTGGTTTGACTCATTTGCACACATCACCTCCCTAGGGTTCAAGGTAGCACCTAACTTCCTTGATTGTTNAAGTGGTACACTTTTATTTTTATTAATTTATTTATGCTATCTCAACTTAACTCGCTAATGATTAAACTAAAGNAGGTAGTACACTTTTGTTTTTATTAATTTATTTATGCTATCTCAACTTAACTCGCTAATGATTAAACTAAAGTCAAACTTCATTTTATTTCCTTGTGGTTTGACTCATTTGCACACATCACCTCCCTAGGGTTCAAGGTAGCACCTAACTTCCTTGATTGTTGGACTAAAATGCATTGCTAAACTTTGTTAACAATAAGGTTAAAATGACTTTAATGCCCTTCCCCACTCTTTTTCTCCGCCTTTCTAGTAACGATTGATCCATCATAGATTCAGTATCACTTTCGCCTCCAACCCAGTAACTCATCACCTCCGCATTAATTCATCCATCAAGGATTCATTAACAAAAGAATTGAAAAAAAGAGAGGTGTGTGGTGGTGGGTCATCATGGCAGCTGGTTGCAGTTGAAATGGAGTTTAAATCGCAAACCTCTTCAGTTAGCTAATCCTTCTCCTCTGGCCGACACCAACCTTTCTTTTCTGGAAAAACCAAACCCAACATTTCAATTCCAAAATTGCGTCCAAATCGTCAAACAACCACTACACCAAAACTAAATGCTTGATATTAACCACCTCACATTTATCACTCACTGCAACAACACCAATCACGACATCAAAAAATCTAAAGTTAAATAAGTCATCTCCACTATATACAACTACCACAAAGCACAGTCCAAAAAGGAAAAAAAATGATTGAAACAAAAATTAGACCAAATTAGATGAATTGAACCAAAATCGAAATTGAACCAATATGGAACCAAAATCGAAAATCGAATGAATCAAAAAAAAAAATTGAACCAAAGAGATTGGTATCTTCTATTGATGTCCATCATTGATGTATGTGCTACACTCCTAGCCAACTCAAATGGTGATGAGGGTTGATCTGTCAAAATGGATATCGATGGTGATGGTGTGAAGGAAAAAACAGAGGTGGATGTTGGTGGTTAATCGGTAAAAA